GAGGAATTCTGCTGTCACAGTTAAGATAATACATATAGCACAGATGGTGCTTTCATTTTAAAAACAACCACAACAGAATAGGAGACACAAAATTTTTGTTTAATTGTTGCATTTTCCTATCCTATGATTTGATGATTTTGTTTGGCACTGATGCAAATTAATATTTAAGCTTCTGCTCGAATCCAACTGTTGATTTTTTTTCTTCTGTAATGATGTTATTTCTAAATATAGACATGCAAGATGAAGAAAAATATACATCAAACTCCTTATCTTTCTCTTGTTGGCAGTTTCTAGGCGTTTATATTTAAGGCTAGGTTTAAATTAGCATTTTCATATTATCCCTGCCAATTTTAGATTGTTTTGCTGGTGCAATCAATGTATTAGCCAACTGTGTTAAAAAAAATCCCCAAACAAGAAACCTAAATCTCTATAAATCAAACCCAAACTTTATGTTGAGTCAATTCCAACTGATACCGACTTATGTGTTGGAGTTAAAATGTATTTCACTGGAGTTCAAGGAATGATTTCCACAGCAGACCACCAGCCCTTTTTATTCCAAGGCATCTCTGAGTAGATTGCAGCCTCCAATCTCTCAGTGAGCAGCTGAGTGTTTTTACCAATTGGGTTACCTGAAACGGCCTGTCAACTGTGCTCCAAAAAGAAAATAATGAAAATGAAACATGCTATAGGGAGCTTCAGTGGCAGCAAGAAACTGCACTGCAATGCCTAAGGTACATTGTTTGAATCCACTAACAGCTCCATAGAACAATGGAGGAGTCTTCTGTGTGATTAACTGCCTCTGAAAACTCTCTAGAGGGTGGGCTATGAATCAGTTCTGACTCGATGTTTCACAACAACAATAACATCCATTTGATTCCAACTCACATCAAGTTCCTCCAACACTGTAAATCTTTGCTGGAGGAGACTTTCCATCTTTCTTCTGAAAAGGAAGGTAATTCCAATCACTGTAATGTGCTACGCTATCATCTCAAAAGCAACAACGGAAAAGAAAAACAAAAAATAAAACCCAAACCTCATTGTTGTGGACTTTGATTTGACTCTGTCCAGCAGGTTTTCAGAGGCAGTAAATCACACAGGGGACTACCCATCTTTCTCTCACAAACGTCTGATGGATTCAAGCACAATTCCTTATGCACTAGATTGATTACCAGAGGACCTTACAATGCATCAAGAGCTCCCCAACTAAGGACATAAAACTCCCAGGGCAGATTAGGGTCAAGCATCTTGGGGTTGGTTCTTGCTGCAGGATGTTTTCAGACTGGAGACTCACAGGTCTCATTGGAACTCTTTTTCTTATCTAATATTTAAAAAGAACACCAAACAACCCAAACAAACAAACAAAAACCACAAGAAAGCCCAAACAAACAAGCACATCTTGTCAGCAAGAAAAGAGATTCTATATGGAAAATGGTACTTTTTATAAAATCAGACCTACTGGAGATCAAAGGTTTGTATTTTTAGGGTTTTTGTTTTGTTTTGTTTTTTTGTATTTTTAGTTTTTTGTAGTATTGATCTCTACTGAAATATACATAAGATAAACTCACTCCAATTGATTTTATTCCAAATCATGGTGACCCCACTGCTGGGTTTCTGAGGCTTCTGTTCTTTGTGGAAGGAAATGGCCTATCTTTCTCCTGCTGTGCAGTTGGTGGACAATTATTCTCATAATTGTGCTGTGATTATGCCAACCTGCTTCCCTGCTGGTCATTAGATGTCCCTGGTGTATCCGTGATCCCTGGAGACCTCATCAATTTCCATTATTCCAAGTTCTTCCCATATGCTAGTGACTCTGTAGTCCAGTCTCTTTCCCTGAAGCATTTCGTAGGACTCAAACACTAAGCTATGCCCTTATTTAATTGAACAATTAATGCCAGAAACATCTTGTTTATGTTGGTTAATCTCGCTTTTATGATTTTTATAATTGACTTCCTAAGAATTCCAAGATATGGATGGGCTACATAGAAAGAATGAAATCACCTTAAAGTATAGACTGAAAATTAATTACTTCTGTCACATCATTCCTTTTCACAATGAACTTAATTTAGAGTTGAGGGAGTTCAGGTGGTCTAGTGACAAGAAGCTGTGATACAATCCCAAAGGCACGTGGTTCGAATCTACCAGTTGCTCTGTAGGAGAAGGATGGGCAATTTCCTTCCATACAATTAACTGCCTCTGGAAACCCATCAGAGGGACAGTTATGGTTCAGTTCCAACTCTACAGTACACAATAAGAACAATTATTCCTAGTTTTGTGATGATATGCAAACATCACATAATATATCGTGAATAGTCTGTTATTCGTCATTAAGTAAGAAAGAGGATTAATCAGACTATGTATAGGTAGGTCTTTGGTGGATAAGAAGTTGCACTGCCCACCCAAAGCCAAATAATTCTAATCCACTAATTGTTCTGTGGGAGAAAGAAGTACCACCTCCTCTAATGTAATTTATAATCTCTGAAACCCTACTGGCTATTAGCCAGTTTTGACTTGATGACACATAATAACATAATCCCAAAACAGAGGTGTCCTGGCATGGATAGATAAAGTTTGGACGTTAGCGTCGCCCTCACTGTCATAAGACACGCTCTGGACGGAGAACTGATGTTCCTTATTCAGGCACCAAGCCCTCCGACTTTTTCAGTGATCTAAAATATCAGTTTTTGTCACTCTTATTTTTTTATTTTTAATGTTTCTTTTGATGGGTTTTAAGTAGTAAATAATGCTTGAATGTCTTGTCCTGTCTTAGCCATCAATCAGCTTGAAGGCACACTAAAATAGTTTTCATCCTTTCTGAAAAAATCACAGCATTTTATTTCCTTATCTTCCCTTGCATGTGTGAATTTGGAGTTTTATAAGTCCTCTAAAGCACCACCTAAAGATTGACTCAGTGAGATTAATATTAATAGTCAAAGAGCTGTTCAGAAAATATTTAGAGAGTCAATACAGTGGAAAGATTAGCAGATTTATTTGAACAGGACAATATTCAAATCTTAAACTGTATCACCTCAAGTAGGACTTTGAACTGGTTCTAAATAGTGCCTTTGTGACTGGTGGAAACAAAGGGGACTTGCATATTACAGAACCAGCAAACCTCATTGTATTGAGATTTTTTGCTCTAGGGGAACAGACAGTGTAATCAGAAATGGTCGGTGAGGGCTAAGCAACACACAATCTAAGCACTCAGGCGGCCACCATCTTTGAGCTGAGTGCAGATGTCTGCTTCTTAATGCAGTTAAGAGATTTGGTTGCTATACAACAAATATGCTCCTTTTGTTTCCATTAGCACCATGGTGGAAATGTTTTGGATGGTTTAAAAATCCTGTCTAGAAGCAATGGAAATGTAAATCAATTCCTTGCAGTAGGGGTTACTAAATCTTTTGGCTGTTTTAATCTCAACATATTAATCAGTGTAGTAAGTGAAAAAGACTTGCCATTAACAAAATCTATTTACCTTGGTAAACTTAGTTCTCAATGAATTGAATAGAGCTTATAGACAGTCTGTGTACACTATAACTAGAAACAGACATCATTATATAATTCACACTCTCATGGTAAATATCTAAAGAACTTTTCCACATGTGGATATAAGGTCACTATGAGTGGTGGGCAATTCAACAAACAGCACATTAACAAAAACAACAAATGATTTTCTAAAAGAAAAATAATTATTTTGTTTGCCTAATGATAAGTTCTATTATAATGATACAGAGGATTGAAAACCTTGTGATTGAAAGTGAGAGAGAGAGATGGATATAGAGCTCTAGTGTCCTAGCATTAAGGACAGATGGTTCGAATCCACCAGGGGTCCACAGGAGAAAGATGGGCAATCTCCATTGTGCTACTTACTGCCTCTGAATGCCCACTGGAGAGTTAAGTGTAAGTTGGTTCTAACTTAATGGCACCTAATAACAACAATGTTGTTGCATAAAATAGTAGAATTCTGATCATTCTCAAAAATAACTGCATAATGTTCATGTTTTGTAATTGAAATGGTTGAATTTTAAATTCTTTTTAATAAATAATGATTAGAAATGTTTATATGGGGTACAGCTTATGAATTTATCGATAATCAGGTTATGGTGTGTGTTACTATTCATTCTAAAATAAAATTGTTAGTATGATAGAAAGTTATCTACAAATATGTGCCTAAATAGAACTGTCAAATAATCACATGGTAGTAAGCTTGATATTAGCTGTTAGTCAATGGCAATCCCGACATACCTGTTCAAAGTATTTATCACACTTTTCCCCAAAAAATACTGTTGATTTTCTGTGAAGGTGGCTTTTGATGTTTATTTGCAAAACTTCTAATGGACCTTCAAGCCATGAAATTAGGTAATTATTTTCAGCTTCTGTCACTGTGACCAGCTAACATGACACCTGGCCTTAGCTGGCTACACAACAATAGCTCTGAAGGGTGAGCTTAATATGCCAATTGATTGTCATGGCTTTCACTGCAAGGTTCCAGTCTGTTTCTTCTTGGACAAAGAGCATCATCCTCTTATCATTAGTAAATTCTTTAACAACTGGCCACTGTTAAGATATTATGCACTTTAAAAAAAATAGTTAATATAGATGATAAAATGACTTAGATTCATATTTTACATTTTAGTTTAAATTTTAAAATGCATATATTATTTTAATTTTACCTTTTCTTGATTATCCTGTGCTTGATTTGTATTCAAGTGAAACAAATTTTAAAGCAAAAACTACTTTAAATTTGGTCATGCATTCTAAAAGGGCATCCATGTTTTATTTTCTATATATTTTTCCTTAAAGGAACAGACACTCCTTTTCCTACTGTATTTCAAAAATAAAAATAAAGTGGACATTTACTGTGTTGGAAAAGTTGCCTTTGATGATTGCCGCCAGATGATGAGCTCTTTAATGTGGTGGATTGGATCCTGGACTAATGAACAGAAACCTATGAAAGCTCTCCTTCCTTCCTCAACTTTTTTTTCATCGTTTTCTCTCCACAGGAACTTTTTACCCCTGAATGCAAGTTTAAAGAATCTGTTTTTGAAAACTATTATGTAATCTACTCATCCATGCTGTATAGACAACAGGAATCTGGTAGAGCCTGGTTTTTGGGATTAAATAAGGAAGGGCAAGCTATGAAAGGAAACAGAGTAAAGAAAACAAAACCAGCAGCTCATTTTTTACCCAAGCCATTGGAAGGTAAGTGTTTTATGCCTTTATCTTTGTTAGGTCAATTACATTTTGTATTTTATTTTCCTTCTTGCAAAGAAAAATGGAAAAGGTAGTGTGCCAGTGAGGTGAAATCATATTTATGGCCTTTTCGTCTGGGCAAGCTTTGGGAATCTGGGCCAATGACATGATGCTGTTCTCTGATGTCATTCATGCACCCATAGAGTTCACAGTTTCGGTATCATTCATGCACCCGAAGCACTAACTGTATTTATGTCAACATCTATTTCCTGGTTCTGATGGCTCATGTGACTCTTGCCTCCCCCCATATATCATTATTTCTAATCCTAACACAAGATTCATGGAATTCTGAGAGTGTCCTTTATCTTGATTTGGATGGTGATCGCCTTGTTAAATGCCATCCAGTGGCCCAGGACTGCCCCAATTTCTCTAGTTCTCAGTGCCTCTAGAAATCATTTTGATGAATTGTTTTAAATATTTTTAGAGGTTTGTGATATCTTATAATTCCAGATATATTAGGGAAGACAAGGGTGACAATTTCACTGTTACCTAGATGAAAATAGTTCTGGAATTTTTTAATTATTATAATTACAAGAAAGAAAAAATACTACCTTGACTTTAATGAACTTTGAGACTTTCATATCGTCATTGAACCCTGATATTTGTTTTCCCTATTTATTTGTGGCATTACCTTCCTTTACAAACAGTTTATATATGTTCATTTACAATAATTAATGGAGTGTTCATTTTTGCTATTAGAAGATCTCCAGAAAGTTAATCAAACTCTTGGCTTTCTTTATTAATTATTTATATTTATTAACTATTTATTTCTCTTCAAAGCATCATTTATTTTCATCTACTTTTTTTTTAGAATTAGGGAGAGAAATTATGAGAACATTAACAAGTACTTTCTGTTTAAAGACTATTTTTACTGTTTTGCAGAAAATCAAGTTTACAATAATTCACAAAAAACACCTTTAACTCTGTTTATTTTTAAAAGAATTAAAAAAAAACTTACAAGAAACCTTGGCTATCAAAATAAAATATGTATTAGATTTTATAATCTCTGTCCTTCTATATAGGAATTGTTCTTGTGCACTGTAGAATCAAAATCAATTCTTATCTGACCCTCTAGGAGGGCTTTCAGAGGCAATGAAACACAAGGGACGAAATTGCCCATATTTCCGCTCTGGAACAGCTGGTGGATTTGAACTGCTTGCCTTTGTGTTGACCACCCAACTCCTTACCACTAAGGCACCAAAGCTCTCTCTATACAGGAACAGATAGTTTGCAATTTTGAAAAACCTTTCCTTTTTTTACCTTTGAGTACACAATTCAGCTTTCAGTTTGATTTTGTTTGGAAAACCACCTTTGTTGTTTAATAGCAACACCCTAAATTAAATTTGTTTCAGAATAAATAATTTTAGCTCAAATCAATGCCTTTCTAGATTAGGACATATTTAGCTGGGGTCTGAAATATGAGTGGAATAGTCTCATTATATGGTAGACTATAAGAAGAATTAAAATGTAAAGAAAAAATAGAGATTCTTCTCTGTTATAATAATATAGTTTATGATTTGACCTTATTCCCTTAAAAGAAATTTAGGGGGAAAAAGGAAGTTAGAACCATATACTTATATATTAAAATATAAAAATTAATAATAAATTTCTAGATCAGTAGTAGGTTTAACAAAGATCCTGGTTAATTTGCCACCTTGCTTTGTTTCTTTCCATTTATTTTTGTTTTGGATACAGACAGATAAACAGAAGCTAACTTTCTAACACTCTACCTCTTTATTTTGTGAATGTAATGAAAACTAAAAGTACTATCACTTAACTGAGGCAAAATTTAGAAACTGTTTTTTACCTTGCAGTATAGAAAAAAAAGTTTTAAAATTTTGCCTTATTTAAATGATAATTCTTGTGGAAACTATATAGATGGGATGCATGTGGTGGTACAGTCCATCGGGAAATGCACTGCTAAAACAAAGGTGGCCCCAACTTCACAGTGCGAATCCCACAGCGTCTCTATAGGAGACAGAGGGGCAATCTTCTCCTGTTTGATTTACAATCTCACAAAAACCCACTGTACGGTCAGCTATTGGTCCAATTTGACAATCAAGAGTTTGAGTTTTTGAGTTACTCAATGATAAATTTGAGAATGTGTGTATATAAGAAATAGTATTTTAAAGCATATTTTAAAATAATTAGCAGACAAAGGTACTATAATGATAGAAATTATTATAGAGCTATAAGTAAGAGAAAATGTAACTGAATTTAAATCTAAAAAGGATAAAACATTTCATCATCAAAAATGTTAACATTAATTAAATGATTTATTAATTATTGATATCCTAGTCATCCCTGTATCTTGTACAACCTTTCTGCATAGATAATCAAGGTCAGTACTCTGATGTTATTGTCTCCTATATTAATTTATATACTACTAATTAGTAGTGGAGTGAGAAAAGTCAATATACTTCAAAGATAAAAGCTCATATCTTGCCAAAGCATTTAATACAGGGGTTTATGTGCACTTTCAAATAAATACTTTGTTGAAAAATCGTGATACCTTCATACCAAAAGTTAACTGTAGCATCTTACACAAAAAGAGCATTTTAATAGTTCAGCCTAAATAAGCATGATGGCTCTTTTTAAAATATCTTAAAATTTCAAAAGTCTCATAATGCAGGTAGGGCAGCTGCTGTAATTGACTTGCATTTCTCTCTCTCTCTCTGTCTCTCTGTCTCTCTCCCTCTCTCTCTCTCTTTCTGTGTGTGTGTGTATGACACAGAGGGAGGAAGGCAGAGAGAGAAATATCACAGGGCCACATTACATCTTCTTTAATAGTGACCTAATTTCCTGGGGGTTAGAAACTGCACTGAAATCTCAAAGGCATGCCTTATGAATCCAGCAGCTTCTCTGCTGGAGAAGGATGGTCAATCCCCTCTCTTGCTATTAACTGAGTCCGAAAACCCACTGGCGGGTCAACTATGGGTCATTTCCGACTCAATGGTACTGTACAACAACAATCCACAGGGAGAAGGATGTGAAATCTCCTCCCATGCGATTACTGCCTCTGAAAACCCACTAGAGAGCCAGTCAGCTATGAGTCAGTTCCAACTCCAGGGTACACAACAATCCATAGGAAGCAGGATATGGTGACCCAGTGGTAAAGAGTTGCACTTCTGACAAGGGAATAAATTAAACAGCTGCTCTGTGGTGAAAGATGGGCAATTGCCTCCCAAGGGATTTACTTTCTCTGAACACACACTGGAGGTTCAGCTATGAGTTGGTTCCAACTCTATATGGTACACAATTGTTGTTGTTCTTTTTTTTTCTTTTTTATTTTATTAAATTTTATTAGTTTTAATGAACATTTACAGGGATTTTGGGTTTTCATTCCTTCATTGCTGCACCATTCTCTCTACCCTCCTCCCCAGTTTGTTCTTCTTCCCCGCCATGCGAATGTCTGTTTTAATTGTCCAATTGCCACAGTGCTTGTCAAAGCCAGTTCTGATTAATCTCCTTTGTCGGTGTGTCCTTTGCCATTCCCTATCACTCCTCCCTGAGAGAGACTTCACCCTGATTCATAAGGAAAAGGGGATGGCGTATTCTCTTAGCTACTTCCTCTTGAAAAGGGACGCTGTGGGTTTCAGGGTGAAGATCTTCTCTCACTACTCTAAAGGGCCCCTTTGGCAGTAGGAAACACATAGACTATTATGGAGATTGATTTTGGAATTTAGATGCACTGTTATTAATTGTGCTTAGCCGTACATGTTCATATCCCTGAAGATGTATCATGGGGGGGTTGCAACCTAGAATTGCTGTTGTTCTTATGTGCTATCAAGTCACTTGTGACTCATAGTGACCCTATGTACAAGAGCCCTAAACGCTGCTCTATCCTGTGCCAACATAGCCATCTCAAACACACTCATTCACACCACTCTAGTCACAGAATTGATCCATCTCATCGAAGGTCTTCCTCTCCTGCAGCGCCCCTCCACTCTGCCAAAAATGATGACGCTCTCCAAGGACTGGTCCATCCTTGCAACTTGCCCAAAATATGTCAGACATAGCTTCAGAATCCTTGACTCTAAGGAGCATTACAGCTTCACCTTCTCCAGGACAAACCTGTTTGTTCTTCTAGCAGTCCATGGTATATTCAACACTCTTCTCTTTGAGCACCAAAGCTCAAAGGCATGAATTCTCTTTCTATCATCCCTATTCACTGTCCAACTGTCCTATGCATAGCACGTAATTGCAAAGACTATAGCCTGGATTGGGTGCACCTTAGTCTCCAGCCTGACATCATTGCTCTTGAGAGGTCCCTCACAGCTGACTTTCCCAATGCAATTCATCTCTTGATTTCCTGGCTGCTGTTACCAAGAGTGTTGACTGTGGAGCCAAGTAAACTAAAACTGTTAACTAATCTCAATCTATTCACCATCCATACTGATGCTGTCAATTGGCCCAATGGTGAGAATCTTTGTTTTCAAGCAGTATTAACCCATGAGAAGGCAACCTGGAGTGGAAGTTTAAGAACAAGGTACACAATTGTGAGTTGATAAAGCATTGCACTAATTCAAAGGCCATGCCTCTCTGACAATTTTAATGCATCGTGGCCCCAAGAAAGAAAAATTGACAATCTTCTCCCATGAAACTGACAACCTCAGTAATGCAATGGAAGGTCAACAATAAGTTAGTTGCAACTTGACTGCAATCAAATTTGAGTTTTTTGGGTTTTGTTTACTTTTGTTTAATTTTGCTTTTTTTTTAAATAGACAAAAGCCATGACATTCATGTATATTTGTCAGGTACCAGATAATAGAGGCCAAAGTAGTATCTTCTGTTTGTGGGCTAGAAATTATTGTTTTAGGGTAGGACTTTTCTCTCCATAAGATTACTTTACATGAGGGAGGATTGGGGCAGGGTGGGGGTGGAGGGAGGCAAAAGGAAGAGAAAAACTATTAATGTCTGTACAGGTTATTGGTGGGCCGTTCTTGAGTCTAACACAGCAATCTTTCCTTTTCCCTTACCTTTCACTAGTCGCCATGTACCGAGAACCATCTTTGCATGATGTTGGAGAAACGGTCCCGAAGGCTGGGGTGACCCCAAGTAAAAGCACAAGTGCATCGGCAATAATGAATGGAGGCAAACCAGTGAATAAGAGTAAGACAACATAGCCAGATCCTCACAGGTGTTGGTTGTGACTTATTCATCCCGCGCACAGTTGAGCGATTTATCCTAACCAGACACTCCTGCTCCTGTGGCCGAGGGGCAGCTGGAAGCGAGCCAATGCTTTCTCTTTGCTGTCTCAGAACTTCTGTGTTGCAAGTGGATAAATCTCGAGCTGTTGCCCTCCCCCTACAACAAGAAGACACCTGGATAACCAGCTAAACTCAGACCATGGAATGCCCTACCAGATATGGAATGCCTTTTTAATATCTTTTCTGTGACTGTGACACTTCATGTGAATGACATACTTCACAAAGTACACTTGATACCTTGCCTGCTGACAGTTACCCATAATCCTTTTTGAGTCCTGTTTCAGCGAAATCCATGTGTTTAAGTTCAATTTTGTAGCACACCGATAATATTGAGTAATTTCTAGTTAGCCGCTGTACAACCTGTGCTATTATGGATTTCTCTTCTTCCCCGTTTTTACAGGGCTGCTCGCTCCCCTGTCTGTGACCTTTTGCAGGGATTGTATTCCTCTAAATCTCAAATGTTGTAGTTGGCTTAGTTCGGAGAGCAGTCACGGAATCAGGAAGACTTCTAAACCTATTACTCCAAATTGCATCTATAAAGATTAAAATTGTGGTCTCTGGCTCCCACTCTTGATGAAACACACATATATGTTGTATTCAAGTAGCAGATACTGCGCCCTGAGGTCAGCAGTGGCGGGGAGGCATATGGGTCAAACACACTCCAGTGACAAGCTCTCTTGGAGATGTGTTTGACATCTCCCTATAGTTTCTCTGTGTGTGTGTGTGTGTTTTATACATATCACAAGCTTACTGGTAATGGTAACATTTGCCTTGCCCAGCGAGCAAGACCCACTAGTTTTTGCAAAAGTGGGTCCAAAGAACTCTGTAGGCCTTGTAGGCCTGATTAAGGCTCATTTTTCATCTACTAATCCTTATTATTTGGGGGGGGTGGGAAGAAACAGGAGAAACCAGTAATTCCAGCCATCAGAATTACACTCCCTTAATCCATTTCCGATGTAATCCTTCCTGTTTTTAATGATCTGAACTCAATGCCATCCCCGTTTTTGGCTGTTTCCCACTCATACTCAGCAGAGCATGGGCAAGGCGGCTGTTGTGTTCTTTTTCTGCAGCAGCAATGCAAACGTTAGTTATAAATTAGCCTTTAATATTTTTTGGTGTTTAATGACAAGTTTTTAAACTGGACATACTAGGGAAAAATATATTTATTTTATTTTCTTTTTTAGCTCAGCATGCTGAGTCTGGTACTGTGTATTTCACCAGTACATACCTCTGGCAGCCCTGAAGGACCCTCATGCCCACTGGCTGGCTCAGAGGTGCCTTGCCATGATCTCAGAATACATTCTGTTGAATCATCATCCTAAGGTAAAAACAAAGGCAAACCAACATATTCAAACATCAGGGTTTTGGTCCATTCAATTTATTTGCTTCTGTTTCATTCGCTTCCTTACTTTTCCATTTAGCACTGTTGAGCTCTGAGCTTAGTGAAGACTATTAAGAAAAGCCATGGATAGTTGCCTATACAGTGGAGACACCATACAAAAATGTTCAACATTAGAGATAGAGTTTCAAAATGTTTAATATGAAACTTTTTGGAATATATTTGTTATTTCTGTGTATACTTAATAAAAAAAAATCAATGCTTCTTTCTCAGAAGAGTTAATTCAAACCAAACCGAACCTCATTCATGGAAAACTGTATGTGGTATCATTGTATTGGCCTCTTGATATTAATATCATGCGGAAGGATGACCCAGCCACCATTTCTGCACTGTATTTACTGGGAAATTATTTTGTCACTGCGTTCATAAATCTCCATGGCAGCTCCTTGCCCAGCGTTTACCAATTCCGGCCTGCTTAGCTGATTAAAGGTTTAGTATAAATTTAACTGTTTATGCTTATTTCATTTTCATATTGGATTTCATTTTAATAAATAAAAAAGTTAGCTTAACGTTGGAGTAGATTTATTGCTGGTACTGCTAAATTACAAAAAGACAAAATGGTTCCTTTTGACAGTTCTTGATTTGTGGTTGCTCCATTTTTTAAGCCTATTCTTTTAACAGGATATGTTAAAATACACTAGGTGAATTTTACTGGCAAAATATTTAGAGAAGACATAGCTCCCATAATATCTGGGAAACATGAATAATTCAATTAGAGATCCTAATTAGATAAACTTATAGAAACTGAATATCCCACTAGACATATAACACACACACACACATACACACATACTCACTTGTAAACATCCCAACTTGCTGATTTCCCCTTGAAAATCTGTTCATTGGTTAAAATTAATGCAAATTTATTTTTGTAAGTGACTGAGATTTATGTAAATGTACACTTCTGTTTTGTTTTTATATGCATTTTCAATAAGGGCATTTATCCCGACAAATTGATGTCAAGGTTCTTTCTTCTAATACATGTTTAGACATTTTGCAGAGGAGTCCTTGCTATTTGTCATTTAGTTAGGTCATTTCTTCTCTGGTCTCATTTGTGCAAGGGAGGAGGAGAGCACTGATGAACTGCATGTAGTAGGACCAGTGTATCAAGAACTGCTGGTATGTATAACTGCTGGTATGTACATACACATATGCAAAGAGTTTGTCTGCATTGTACAGTTTCTGTGTTTAATATAATTTGTTGTATTCACAAATACAACACGTTGAATAAAATATTTATATGAAGGTATATTAAAAACATCAAACAATTTTATGTAACAAAATGGCATTGTGCCACCCACATATACAGAAAAACGTCATACAAATGAGTTGGTAAACTTAATTTCCCCCTTTACCATGCCAAAGAAAATTTTAATTCTTTGATGATACCTCTGGATATTTTGGGGGTCAGAACTTCACCTTTCTTCCACCTACATCCCCTCAAAGATTAAGTTGGTTATTGTTAAGTAAGTGCAATCAATCTGTCACTATTGATGTTCTGTATAGTAAATCTGATGGAATTTATTTGTATTTACAGACTGTGTGTTTTGTACCTCCATGTACATATGTTGATTGTATTGAGTCGCTATAATATCCCATTCCTTTTGCATGCATATCTGGTATGGGAAGGTTATTTCTACTGATTTGTTATGGTAGTTGATTGCTTCACCAAGTCCCTAAACAATGCTTGGGAATGTTAATTGTTCTGATATTGCTAGTAACATCATTTTTTTTTCCTGCTAAATTTGCTTTCTCTGAGATTCCATCACAAGATTTGAAAAAAAAAAAATAGAAGTGATGCAAATGATCCAACCTATGTAAAGATTAAATGGAATGGATCATCATTTCATTATGAATACTAAAGAATTTGGAGATGCAGTAGGAAATCCTTTGCTTATCCAGAATGTTGTGGGATGCAGTGATAAAAGAGATCCACAAAGGATCCAAATAAATCCTGCTCCCGTCTTTCCAATTGTTTGCTTCATTGTCAGCTAGCAGTATCTGTATCACTGCTGGCTACTTGCTTAATTAATGCCTAGACACTAAGTCTGTTTTCAAAGTAACCAGCATCAGATTTGACTCTCTTAAAAACAAAAACAATCTCTTTTTCTTTAACTTGGACTTTAATCACTTCATTTAAACTGAATTTCACCCACTACTCCCAGTATAACAAGTACCAGTAATATTTGATACTTCCCCCAGAAGATGCAATTAAGAAAATAAATTCAGAAACAAGAAAATAATGAAAAAATATTTCCCATGTTATTTTAGAACATGACGATAGCCAGGGTAAGCAATTGCATTAAATGAGGGTTATTATTAAAAATATAGTCAGATCAAAATCTACAATGTAAATTGTCATCATTTGGAGTTAGTCATAGTTTAGATTTCTTACTTTACAAGTTGGCACAGACAGCCTATTGACTGTCTTGGATATCAAGCAGGGTTCCAAAGTTGTGGTTGCTGAGTCTGCAAACAAAGGGTGAATTATGTTTTGTTTTGTTTGTTTGTTTTTGTTTTCTATATCATTCAGACTGATGATGACTTCTGTTGAGATTGTATTTGCATTTGAAATGGTGAAGGTCATTCCTTCCAAAGTGCTGCTGGAATCAAGATTAGCTCCAGGACTCCAGAAAAGACTGTGGGGTTTAATCAGTATGCCTTAGGATCTTAGTGCAATTTTATTCGAAGTCCTATTTTGACTGATCCTTAAGTGTACTGTTTGCCAAACAAGCAAAATAGTTTCAATATCACCTCTAACTTTCCTTTTCAGCTAATATTAATCCTAGCTAATATTAATCGTAACTTTTGAAAAGTATGAACATGTCAATGATATTTCCATATTTCCTACCCATTATAAATTTATTATTATCCTGCCTTTGTTTACAAGAGATTTCTTTCTGAGAAAAAGAATCAAAAGTTAAAATATGACATTTAAGAAGTATAGAATATATGATTTTACAAGTAGTTATTTTTCCAATCTAAAAATGTAAACATTAACTCCCTTCTTACTAGGATAATGTTGGATTCCAAGTCAAAATCAGACAGACTCACACACACACACACACACACACACACACACACACACACACACCCCAGCCATAAAGACGTGAAAATAAACCATGTCGGTGTGTTAAACACAGCTGCATTTATTAAAGTTGAAGTATTTTGGAAGCAGGAGTGGCATCCACTTCCTAAACAACATGCCTCTGGAAACTCTATGAACTTTAGAAAGGCTTCAGGCCTTTTGTTCAAAGGGTCGATGTGAGTTGTGCTCAAATGGATGGCAATCAACAACACAACAACATCATGTAATTTATGATATACTCCCCTATTCATTCTTTAATAATCAAATTAACTCCAGAATACTGGCTGAGTGTAATAGTTTCAGCTTTGCCAAAAGTTTTGGATAAAATAATTTTAAATGTGTAATAGTTTCTTTAAGACGCAAACTCTTGTTATTTTAACTTGTAAATGCTGAGTGCATTTTTAACACTTTCTTATACAAGAATATACAAGGAGCAGCATTTCTGTTGTCATTGTCGCTGTTAAAGAAAAGAAATACCATGTAGAGGGTTAAAAGAAAAATAAGATGCATCTGAGTTTCTATGATGAGATAAAGTGCCAATAGAACAGAGACTGAAGCCCAGCGATTGACCAAATTGAATTTTCATTTTGGATTTTTGTATGGTTTAGAACTAAGAATTTTTTCTTCATTAATTTTCATTTATTTCTAAATTCCAAATTATTTTTCAAACCAACCAAATAAATAAAAAAGTGTCTGACAGAGGTGTTATGACTCAAGTATTGTAAGGTACTGTCTTGTCCTTTGTAAAAAGCAGAACACCACAATAAGGAAAAGTGAATACCATCTATAGCGTGACAGAGGACTAATACAATGAATTCCAATTTTCTGCATTATTAAATAAGCAACTAAAATTGATACAGAACAATTATAATAAGCTTGTTTGAGGTTTAAAATGTTTAGATAGTGAAGAGAAAAGAATATAGTCTATATTAATTATATTTCCCTCATGTTATGAAACTGATATATCGACCTACTCAGTGATAAATACAAGTAATAAGGTTGTACTCCTTAATCTCAGGATAGAGATACTTTTATAAATCTATTAAAAATGAGAACATAAGGGGTAATTTTTAATGATTAGGAAATTAGTACTATACAATCAATCTCAGTTTAATTTTCTCTTCAAATAATTTTCACTATTAAAAATTTTAAGCAACTCAGCAGATACATTTCTCCTTCTTGTTTTTTGGTGATCTTATGAAACCAGGCCATCACACTAGAATATTTACTTTATGGAAATAAAATTTCCAAGTGAAAATTTTATCTTATGTAGTACTAAAATGGTTTTACTACCTTCTTCTAGAATTTTACAAAAATGTAATTCACATTTAGGAAAATAAAAACACACAGAAAACTTTTTTCTAACTATATATGATTAAAGATTGCCTAAACGAAACTGAATAAGTCCTTGTAAGTATAAATCCATAAAGGAAGTCCCAATTGTACATTTTCATAATTCAATGTGAATTTCATACAAAAGTGCACCATTAAGACAATAAAGTTTTGTTTCTACCACTGAGTGAAGATTTGTAATTACTATGAAAGCTATTTTTAAGATAAATATTTTCCTCTCAGATTTGGAGATTGGTGACATTTTAATGAGAGTCTATTCTTCTTTGCCAGAATGCTCCTTGGAGGCACAATGGTAAAACTTCATCTCTCACGCTTCGAACATGTTGCTAGAAAATGCTATTCCTTAGAAAGGAACAGCATGCTTGGAAAGGTGGAGAGTTAGCAAAAAGAAACGAAAGCTTCATTGAGAGAGATTGACACAGTGACTGCAGCAGTGGACTCAGGTGTAGCGTTCAAGATGGTGAGCATGTCAGCATAGGCAGAGTTCAGACCTCTGGTTCACAGGGTCACTACGAGTCATACTCAACAGGAGAGCACATAGCACCAACTTTTCCTGTAAGTAATGTATCCCTGAAGGACAAGATGAGTTTTTATATGTAAACAAATCCATATTTCATGCCTATCATACACTTAATGAGATTTTATTTTCTAAAAGATTAAGTTATAAGGATTGATTTAAATAATGAACAGTTTGGTTTTTTGCACATCTAACTCCTTCCCAGTATAAAATAATATAACCTCTTACTTCTACTGACCTGAAATGGATATTCTTGAGTGGTCATGTACTTATCTTTTTTTATTAATGATGCATCTTGTTGTTGATTGCCTTCGAGTGGAGCATGACTCATAGCGACCCTTGGAATAAAAGGCCTGAAGCCCCTCTACAACTATAGACATTTATCAAAGTGCACGGAGTTTCCAGAGGCTTGTTGTTTAGGAAGCAGATGCCACTCCTGCATAGATAAACATATATTGACACAGAAGGTGAATAATTTAGTTCATCATTTATTAAAAATGTTGAATTGTACATTTTTCATAAGTTCCTTCTTCACCTTATAGGTTCTCCGTTTACGAGGTTAAAGTGAGCAGACAGATTCATTAATGACTGAAAATGACTAGAGTTTCCCTACCTTCTTTTAAAGTAAGAATGATCTGCCATACCTCTGCCTACCTGACATTGTACCTCATCTGAATGTGTCCTCTTCCTGGTCCTCCTATGGAAAATATATGATGTGGAAGTCTGGAAAAGTTTGGTCTGTAGCTTTTTGTGGGATCTATCTTTTCCTCAGACTCTACTACAGTGTTTCTTTTGGAAAGCCTTGCATTCCTAACAGGCATGAAATTCAAGGATTCTCACCCTCAGCACTGATGACATTTAGAGTCTGATAAATCTGGGTTTGAGGCTCTCTTAAATTGTAGAATGCTGCTTAGCGGCATCCATGGCCTCTACTCACTAGATGCTAGAAACACACCCTTCCCCAGTGTAACAAAGAAAATTGTCTGCAAATACTTCCAAATGTCTTTTCTGCAACAAATAGTCCTCATTGAGAACCACTGATATTATGGGGGGGAAATCACTCTAATGTTATTTGTATCAGTTTGTTCAACTTGTTTCAAATGGATACACAGATTTCTTTCAGGCTTCCAGAAATAGAAAAATATACAATAGTCTGTTTGGCCTGTTCTAGTGGTGATTATACATGATTTCCACCGCAATTATATATTTTAATTGTGTAAACAAAGAAAAATGCAGTCCTCTTCCATATTAAAGATAAGTTTTATGGATAGTCGGTGCCAAGCCAGATTTCACAAGCATTTCCATTCCATCCATCCCAGCATTCACAGCTTCCACAGTTACATATTCCATTCCCTGCAATAAAATTTACAGAAGAATAATCATTATGATTTAAAAGCATCAAATGAAAATGTTACCATATATTATAGTTTTCCACATTCAGCTTCAACTTTTTTTCTATTGTGCAGAGGTTTTATATTTTATTACTCAACTACAAGAAATCGGATCTTTTAAATAATGGTTTATTTTATACTACTGTCTATATGTTGTTGTTTTTGATGATTGCCTTCGAGTCGAGTATGACTCATAGCAACCCTATAGACAAAAGGCCTGAAGCCCTTCTACAACAATCAACATTTATCAAAATTCATAGAGTTTCCAGAGGCATGTTGTATAGGAAGTGGATGACACTCCTTCTTCTATAGAATCAATTAAACATTCCTATGTCACTTCAGCAGGGCTTCCTCTGAAGTCTTTGTTTTTCCATCAGAAAGGAAGTTATATCTGGCTTCTGAACAAATATTGAAAATCATAAAGCTGCTGACATAGTTCAAGGCAAGCCAAGGAACCATCTGGAAGAGGAAACTTGAAAGGAGGGGCAAAAAAATTAATGTCCAGCTAAGTGACACACACCATCTTATGATAGAAGTCAGGAGAACAGACATGTATTTCTTTATTTACTTTCTAACTTTAAATATATTTTATTAGAAATTCTTATGACTCAGTAATTTAGGATATATAATCATTATACAGCTAAGTCTGTTTTATCCCTGCCTGGAGGCAAGAGTCTGCACGCGTGCGCGCGCACACACACACACACACACACACCCCTCTCCTGTCAACCAACAAACATCTCAAGCCATTTTTAACTATTGGCCAGTTTAAAATTATAATTCATCCCCAACACAATATTCAAAGTAAAATTATTATCAAGGTAATTTTTCTTATGTGTATGTGTGTGTATGTGGAGTGCGGCTTAGTGGGTAAGGAGTACCTCTGCCAGCTCAAAGGCAGACGGTTTGAATCCAGTAACCGATCACCAGAAAGATGAACAGTCTCCACTTGTGCTATTGACAGCCTCTGAAAGCTCACTGGAAGGTCAATTATAAGTTGGTTGGTTCTGACTCAAGAGAACATAATAAATGTGTGTGTATGTACACATATATTCATTAGCTTTTGGGGAAAGATAAAATAATTTGTATGCTTCTCATTATTCCTATCATTTCATTCTCTTATATTCTTTGATTCTTGGAAATAATTGACTTATTATTCCCAAATACCCATCTCCCTTATGCAATACTTCATATTAAGGGATGGATCTTGATCATGTGAAAGTTTTCTTTTTTTGCACATCTAAAACATTACGTGGTGGGTATAATTTGGCGCTACTGTAAATGGTGGCATGCAGTTAGGAAGAAAGGCTGATTACCACACCTGTACAAATAAGGCCATCATGCTTGTCGCAGTCCCGGTCATCACAGTCACAGAATTCCCCGGAAACATACCATTCCTGGGTGGAACAAATGCACTTTGCACAGTGACAAGAACCTGAAATCACAAAGAGCATTACTCTCAGACACAGCCAACCAAAGCGGTCAGTCTAGAATAGAACACTGAAACCTGCACAAAGGGAAAGGATAATTGAGTAGCTGGCTGCTCAGAGGTATGCCTTCTCTTACTGTAATTCATAAAGGTTATCCAGGAAAGGCTTAATCACAGATTCAGACAGTTGCAATTAGCCTTGAGCAAATGTTAAATTGTCTAGCCTGATGAAGATATCAATGAGAGTGGAATGTTGCTAATTCTAACAAATAACCTTACCTAAAGGAGTTAAAAAAGGTGTTTAGAATTGTGGTTTAGAAGTGTCTGCTACTTAATAGAAAAGTAAATTCTCCTAAATGAGGAAAGATTTTAGTATCAAAATTACTTCATTTTACTTTTAATTCTAGGATTTCTGTTTTTACACAATTTTCTTAGAGCAAAAGCAAGGGTCTACCTGTATATTGAATGAGTAATTGAACTGCTAAGAAATACACACACAATAACTCATGTATATTTCACTTATCAGATATTATTTGATAGATCCTCTGTTATAATCAAATATCCACCACTTATGTGATCCCACATTTGAAGATCTTTCCCCCTGTTTCTCACATATTTCCTATCATTTCCTACCAAATTAAAATACCTCTTCTTTCAGTAGTTTTCTTAATATTTAAAATTGCAGAAAATATATTAAGTGCTCTTACAAGGAGAAACACAAAATTTTAGTCTAAAATCTTTTATATGGTGAGATTAATTCTCCTATCATGCTAAAATAGTTGGGAATCCTGGTAACTTTAAACCTGAACATATGTGTACACACACACACAACATCCCACACACAAGGACTCTCACTGCTTATATTTCTTAGAGTTACCTGTTTCTTCCAAATATGCTTCCTATTTACCAATATTGTTAGTTTTCAGATTAGAGTTACTAAAAACAAATTACTTTTAGAAAGAAAATGAAATGGAAAAATACTTTGACAAAATTCTAGACTGATTAAAAATAAATCAGGAAAGTACAAAGCAAGAAATAATCCAAAGAATCTCTTATTTTAAAATGGGTTAATAACCTAGGTGATTAATGGGATTAGGAAAAGGAAATTATAGTTCTAGGATTTTAGAAAAGATTCCTGTTAATGTGTCCCGAGTGTCAGGACTGTGGGATATGTGATATCATGGAAATTGTTATATGCATTTTTAACTGCAGGAATCCACAGGGGCCAAATTAAGCTCTCCACGTGGCTTGTTCCACTTCTTAAAGTAAGAGCACCTAAAGAGAAGTGGATTTTTACACTGAAATTTGTGTTTTCAACTTCTTACATGATCACAGTATTGTTTTACACATCTAGGTTAATTTTCACGTTCTTGAACAAAATCTAGACAAATGGTAGTTCAAAACAGACAAGAACTGAATACCTAGATGTTTCTCAGGACCCTCTCAGATCAGTTTACAAAGGCTTGAGACTCCCTTAGGTCTCACCCAATTACAGAGTTCCCTTACTTTACAATTGTTTACCCACCTCATAAAACTTTACCTCCCCTCCCCCCCCCCAAAGTCTAGGTATAGAATTTTTCAACAGTCAACTACTGGTTTAAAAAGTAATGATGAAAATTCATGACATTTCATTGATTAGAACAGAACTTTTGTAAGAAAAAATTATGTTTTTTAAAAATATTTCATCTCCATTGCAAACTTAGTTCTATAAAACTAAATAATCTGTCAGTGTCCTTTATATAGTTAGGTATCTTACCTAGAATTGTTGTTTTGTGCCTTTGAGTTGCCTGTAACTCATAGTGATCCTACATACAGCGGCTCTGAACCCTGCCCTGTCCTAAGTCAGTCTCAGAGTCTGACACTACAACACGCAGCTTGGCCCTCATTGATAAAGATTTCCTCTGGAATTTTGGTGATAAATCCACTCTACGGCACTCCTGGATATATCCATACAGGTAACTTTAGAAGGTGGACTCTTGTTTCATCTCAAATTAATTCACTGAAGACTAATTGATAAGACCGTAGGAGAAATGGAAAATTCCACCCTGTTAACCCATTTACTGTGTCAATCTATCTCATCCGGAGTCTTCCTCACCTGCACTGTCCCTCCAACCTTCCAAGCATGATGTCCTTCTCCAAGGACTGGTCCCTCATGGGCACATACCCAAAGTGTGTGAGATGAAGCTTCAAAATCCTAACCTCCAAGGAGAAATTTGGTTTCACCCTCTCCAAGACAGACTTACTTGTTTTCTTGGTAGCCCATGGTATGTTTAAGACTCTTCTCTAGCACCAGAACTCAAAGGCATCAATTCTTCTTTTTTCATCCTTAGTCATTAACCAGCTCTCTGATGCATAGCACGTAATTGTGAAGACCATGGCCTGGATCAGGCACACTTTTGTCTCTAGACTGACATCATTGCTTCTCAGTACTCTGGAGAAGTTCCTGAGAGTAGATTTTTTTCAATGCAATTTATATTTTGTTTTCCTGACTGCTAATGCCAAGAGTAATAAAATGTTATCATTCACCTTCCATTTTAAAATAACCCCTGGCTTTTTCATTCATTCCACTCTTGTTCTTTCTGGAATAATTAGTTTCAGATCATGGAAAAGTATTTTCGTAAATCTTATAAACTCACTTAAGAGTTCACATTGTAAATGTAGATAGTTACTAGAAACAGAGTTTTATGGAAGGGAAAATGGGGAGAGGTTTGTATGTGTCATGAAGCAGCAGCTTTCCTCAAGTTAACAATATATTTCTAGCTATGCTCTTTTCTGTTAGTCAGTGCATCTTAGAGACAGAAAATTCTCCTCCTTCCTGTGATACTATGAATATTATAGTGCTTAATAAAAGCAGTGGAAGTTACTAGGGCATATTTTATTACCTTCTTATAGAGCGTGCTGGATTTTTAATTAAAAAAAGTGGTTGAATTGTCATCTTAGGATAGAGATATACTTAGGAAGGGGGGCGTCTATCAGATGGACTTAGGGATGCATGACACACATTCTATGTGATGAAAGTGAACAGTTAGTTCTTCAGTTCACTTGGTTGAGACCAGTTCACCCTCCTTTCACCCTCAGACCAAACCGGGTAGCTGCTGGCTGATCTTCTCAGGTGCTCTATTATTGGCACTCAGTACATGGACACAGCACCTTTGCTCCGTGTACTTACTTCCTCAGTATAAAGACCTTCAGGAACACTCCAGCTTTGCCTCCTTCTGTGCTTCTTACTGGCTTCCATTCCTGAGGAATCAACTATATCTTCCCATTTAACCTCAGAGCATTCTTAGGACTTAAGAAGTGAAAAGAATAAGATGATTTGCCACCAAAAATAAGAAAATGGAAGGAAGGAGAGGATAAGGAAAAGTAATCAGCTAACAAGCCAGAAATCCACAGATATGATCTAGGATTTTGATCTGACTCAATATTTTCAGACCAGAAAATACTGAATCATCACAGCTAAGCTGTGATGACTTTCAAAGTTAAAAACAAAACAAACAAAAAACACAAACAAAAAAAGTCCACATTCATACAGCTCCAAACATGAGTTGTTTTCTTCCTGCAAGAGTGAGTAGGCAGGTAGATTGTAGAAGACTAGAACAAGGGACAAAGGTACCTTTATAAACCAGAAGTGTGACCTTTCTCGTCTCTGTAGTGGTAGAGATGAGGGTCCTATGCGTGTGTACTGTGGACTTACATAAATAATGTTGGATGTGACAAGAACAACATGAGGGTTTAAGCAGGCCTTTAATGACATGTACAAAGCCATTGGCATGCAACAGCATCTTTTAAAGTATTATAATAGATGACCTGGATCAAAGTGGAAGCAATCAAGGGAAAAAGGTGTATTGGGAAATCTTTGATCCAAATAAATATTTCCCCAAGCAAAAAGTCTATGATCTATATAATGAATGTATTCTGTAAAGGTAGCTAAATTTAGGGTAGATCTGGCCAATAAACTCTTCTCTTTTGGGTATTTCACCAAAAAACAATTTGAGCCAGCAGGCAAGGCACTTTTGTTAGTTGTCCCATTGATCACATGGGCATTTTTTTTCCACTCATGAAGCCTGGCCAAATGCTGCAACCTGACACCCCAGCAGGCAGTTTTCACTATTGTACTGACTTCTCCATCTGTTATGAAGGTCACAACAATGTATCTTGTTTTAAATTTTTCTATGGAGTGATTTGTTGTCTTGGCTATAAATTTGTAAAGAAATAAAACGCTATTTCTTCATCGTCTCCTGAGGCTGACGGCTTTATTCACAGCTCATGGGGAGCGTGCGTTTCTGACTTACCTCTGCATGGAAACGGTTGGCTGTGTACTGTCCACTAACTGTTCACTAAGTGGTGTACCAAGGTCCTCTCAAGGCCACTGCTCATACGAGCCTCATCATCAGAGGAAGGAAACATGCCAGAGGTCCTTTGTGGTAATCAGTGTGAAGAGGCTTCGCCAAAAACCTTGTGACAAACTTACAGAGGATTTGGAGAAAACTATGAGACCAATCAAAACCACGTGGTCTTAGAATTTGGAACTGCTTTCTCTATTCTGCCATTCATGCTGAAGGTTCTTCATTGACTCCCATGAATTATTTTCTTATGGGTCTCAGGGTGGGACAAGAGTGTCACACTTCACAAGAACTAGGAGTAATCTCACCACCCCTGCTATTACTGGTGTCTATTAGGGATCACAGTTTCATTATCTTGGTCTTAGTCGCTTTTATCTTCTCATAACCTAGGACTGACCCAAAGGCCATGTCTCTCTGGTGGTTTGAATCCACCAGGCACTCTGAGGTAGAAGAAGGGGCAATCATCTCTCATGTAATTTGCAGCCTTGGAAATCCAAAAGAGGGTCATCTCTGAGCTGGTGCCAACACTAAGGCAAGGGAATTGAGAGAGAAAGAGCAAGAGAGTGAGAAAGGGAGAGGGCATGAGACTGTTCCAAACTAGGAGGATATAAAGCAGCCAATACACAACTGTTGTCTCTATTATCATCATTATCATAAAACCCA